AAAAGAGAAGACAAAGAAAAAAATGAGTCACAGAAGTTCTTCACTCAGAATAGTACCTTGCCTTTTCAGGAGCACGATCAACATTGCAATGTTGTGCAGGCTACATGGTCCTGTGCCCTCCACACACAGTCAGGCGAACTGGCTCCCTGATGCGGGAAGAATATCCCTGTGGAAACGGCTACTGGRGTAATTTGGATCAAATACCCCAGGGAAAAGAAGTGACCGGGGTTTTATCTGCAGCTTAAGGACAGGGGCTTCACAAATCTAGGTTTGAGAAAGTTTCTGTTGTAAAACAAATGCTCTCAAACAGCTTCTGTATTAGTATAGTACTCAAAAGTCACTGTTTTAGCGATGTTATTTATACACATAGATAGAAATTGCTCCTGTTTTGGAGTATTTCAGTGATCTTCATTAAAAAAGCATAAAATCTTTCTGTTTAAGACATTCTCTGTATTTTCTCAGGTTCATAGTTGAACCAAGATCTCCAGAGAACCCCGTCAGTATGGTACCGTTTCMRWCAGGCTATACACATGGAGTCACGATAGTTCTCTTCTGTATGTATGATCATTAACTATAGGGAACCATAAATAACTGCCTGTAAAGAATATAACAATCGCATTCTATTAACGCAACGGGCTCAAATAGCTCATAATTCCTTTAGACTAAACAAATTCAGACAAAAGGAAAAAGTACAAAGAGCAGTTGCAGAAAGATGGCTGGATACAAGTGCAAAGAATCTCTTAAAATGAATAAGTAAATAAAAAGAGCCCTAAAAAATGTGAGGGGATCCTCCATACAGCAACAGGGAAGAGCTGCGAATCTGTATGTCAGAAATTAAAACAAAATGGGATGGTGAGGGCAGAAACGATTATGGGAAGTGCAAGAMGACAAGAAAAATGGAAAGAGACACATTAGGTCAAGGAAAACGGTCTCATTAACCGTTCTCAGCAACTCCAGCCTGTTCCCTTTTGAGAGCTTTCATTCTCCAGGTGACTCTGCCCAACTTCAGACCTGATGGAGGTTTTCTTTTTCCAACAGATAACGCATTATCCAAAGCCTAAGGACGCTCAGCAGCAGCGACCTTTTCTTAACGCAGCCTGCTATCTGAGAGCATAAACAGGATAGGTTAACATTAAATACAGGAACATCAGTGACAAAACCTGCACCTCAGCATTTGAGCTATTCTTGACCCAATTGCGAACGGATGACAAYAGTGAACTTGCCAATTACCTTGTCGCACAACCTGGAAAAAGAATTCCCTTCCCTTGCGGAAACCTCCTTCCTCCTGCTTTAGTCTACAGCTCTGTATTTGGTGTTGGAGAGGTACTTTTCTCCTCCGCGAGCGGCTGGTCAAACCACCGGCTTTAGAGAGTGGCGGGAGCCCCCCAGACCTGGGGCTGGTCCAGGCTCACGTGAGCTCATGGGGAAGAGATGACACCCTCGGGGTAAAGCACAACTGTCCCAAGGGCCACACAAATCCCAGCGTCGTGACCAGCAGTTGGCCAAGTTTCCTAACTTGGTTACGTTATTTCGCAGGAACAAATCAGATATACAATTTTCAATAATCAGAAGAAAAATCTGACACTTGGTACCRTGCCTGTTTTCACTAAAACACAAGGAAGCTCTTCGATGCACACGATGGGTGCAATGCTTGGTGAAATAATAGATGCACTGAAGTCGTTTAGGGAGATGGGGAAAGAAAGGCCAGTCAAAGCAATGGCTTAAAAATGTTCTTAGAATACCCTGAAAAAGCCCCAAATCTCAATTAAAATAGAATTAGTGAATTAAGACAACTCCTGTGTTTCTATTGTTTGAACAACAACAATATTATGGCAGTTCTTGGAAGTTGTATAGCATTTAAAAGACTGCAAGAACACAGCATGGTATAAAAGCCTTTGTACTGCTTTGACTTTTATTGACCTACATGTCAATTTACTCCTCCCCAAGCATTACAAGCCTAGGTGGAGGGGGAAGAGAGGGAAAAGGAAAAGAAAAAAAGAAATATCAAAGCAAGCCTCCTAGAAATAGCTAAATCCACGAGCTAAAGTGGAATCCATCTGTTATCCCCAAATTGATCAGCGATACAAAAGGTTACCCACTCAAGTTCGTTTCGCTGAAAACATACTCAACCTGCACTGCAAAGGAATAGCRTTATTTTATTCTTATTTAAAATCTAGCAATGTACGTATATCTTGAAGTTTGTACTTTAGCTCCAATTATAGCGTTAATAAATAAATTCATATTAAAATGGCTTGTAATGGGTTTGTATACTATCTTTTACAGTACTGAAGACCTACATGCACATAGAGACCTTGGAAATGCAAATAAACACCCGCACACACACAGAGCTCTTCGCTAACAGCATAGGAAATTGTTCTGTAGTGCTCAGCCCCAGCCATCTTTGGTGCTAAAGTAAAATATGTATTTTCAACATTCGCTATTCCTTTCATATGGAAAACGAGTTAGAAAACGAACCGCAAATGCACATCAGTGCTTTCATGTCATCCAAACAATGAACAGATAGGTCCTTCACATCAAACGAACTACTTGTATGTGATTAATGCTGATTATTATTTAAATTATACGAAATACAYGGCCATTCGACTTCTCCTTTAGCAAAGCAAAATGGCCTCTTCTGCAGTCTCAAATCTTCTTCACTGCGATATAAAGGAGTCCTAAAAATTACTATCGTCACACACAACTCAATTCTACCAGATTTTTAAAAAGCTACATCCCTAAACAGAGAGRCTAAATATTTCCTAAAAGACATGAGCCTTTGCTGCCATTAATTGCCAAAATATGCTTTCTGAAAAGCATCCGCAAAGCTTAAAGACGTCGTTATAAACGTGCCGTAATTCCTTAGGAGACACTGATATCGCCTAATAAGCTAACTGCAAAGACAAAAATCAATTCTAATGCAGATAGAGGAACCAAGAATGATTTATATTTCAAAGGAAAAAAAAAATCCTCAAAAGCAGATAGATTCTTATTAAAAGTAAAATTAACAAGAGCTCATCTAGTCAGCGGCAAATGTATTTGCTTCCCTGATTTACATGTCATTCTCATGGCAGCAACGCTCAAATGACTGTACAGGGATATTCAAAGCAGAAAGAAAAGCCTTGCAAAAGGCTGAAGTTTTTGCTATTCACATTTTCATAATAGCTGGGATAATTTCCAGCGCTTTACATAGCAGCTGTAGTAGCACCACATATTCCAACGCCATAAATAGAAGCACTCCCCAACTTTGTGCTCCAATCTTTGCCAGAAATTGCACACAACAGAATTAAATAAACTTAAATCCACGGAATTTTCTCACGATATTCCCGTTATGTCTACCTTCGGTTTTTAAACAAAGCAATAACTGTCACAAATTATACTGCGTACGCGGAATTTTCCTAATTCCGATTAGAATTGTTTTTTATCCTAGTAATACAAATGCTTATCTCCTTTTGTATGCAGACAAATACAACATCTGGCACGTAGGCGAAAGGAAGATACTGCTCTGAAAGATGCTTCCTAAGAGCTATATAGTTAAGGTCCACTTTTTTAGGCCAAAGGGAGGGAAAAAAAATCTAAAGATAAGAACAATCCCTTTAAGGAATTGCTCATTTTTAAAATAAAATTAAGAATAAMGAGCAAGGTTTAATTCTTCCAAAGCCACCTGAATATCCTAAACGTTCTCACAAAAGTCTCTCGCATTTTCCTTGGAAAATCGTAATGGTGCCAATGGAGAAATGTGTCCGTGTTCTGCAATATCCTCCCCGTCCTCCCCCAACGAGCGCTTTGTGTTCCAACAGCTTGTCTGTAGGCGGATTTTGATAGAATTCGAGTCCTCCAAAGGTAAACAAAAATTAAAAAAAAAAAAATTAAAAATCTTCAATTCCACTTAGCTACGTTATAGTCCTCAGTAAAAGACGCAAGTTATCTAGTCTATAGGGAAGTAAAGGGAAAATGTCTTAATGCCAGTCTTGCATCATGAAGGGAATGTGATGGTGCGCGGAAAACATTTGCTAAAGATGCCTTACTGAAATGCATGGTTTTTGCATAAAATAGTCCATATGTGATACATAATTCTAACGCTGATGAGCAAATATTTGCAGAATATTCTTTAAACAATGAAATCATCTGAAATTTTTAAGTGTTGTTATTGCAGGCCTTTTTAATATAGGCTCTTAGGGAAACACACCGTGCCATCCTCACAAAATATATCGAAAAAAAGCAGCGAGATTTTTTTTTTTTTGAACTGAAAACTAATAAAGATCATTTTCCATGCTGACAGCGCACATTTCATCCAGAAGTTTGAAGAGTCAAATGCTGCCCCAGCTGGGGGTTATTCTGCCAAATGGCTTCCAACAGTGACCACAGAGCTGGAGGATGGGAGGGGAGCGTTTGTGCGCAGGGAAAGAAACCTGATGGCGAGCAACGCCAGAGCCAAATCATCTTATCACGTATCTGCCATACGTGAGCCCAACACACAATACAAACCTAGAAGAGAGCACTGAGGCAGAAAGGCATGAAAAAGAAAGAAAAGAAATAAAGCCATTTGCGAGTTACCTGCAGAGATTTAAAACAAAATAAAGCATACGAATGAAGCAGATATAATTCATATGGATTTGCCCAGGAAGGAGAAAAGGAGGGGGTGAGTGCGAGGGCTGGGGGGGAGAAGAACAGATACCTTTTTTCTTAAACAAATCCATCATGAAAGAAAATGAGACAAGATTATAAATAGGCCGAGTTATAGCGCACCATGGGATTTTTAATCTGGCTACCTGTGGTTTTTGCAGTTAAAGCCCTATTCAGCAGTGGGGAGGAAGGGGGGGAAGCGGAAAAGAAAAAAAAAAWAAAARGRAAAAAAARSMAAAAMMAAAAAAAWCACGTTTACGTGTCCCTGGCGCAAACGATCAAACAGCGAGCATTAGCAACGAGGCTGGAAAGCAGGAAACACTAATTGTCCCCATGTTTTAATCAGCACGCGCTTCCCAAACGCCATGGGTCCCTACCTGCGCGTCGCGTTTCCGGCATTCTTGGGTTTTCTGCTCGTGCTCCGCCATGGCAGCCCGCAGCTGCCTCTCCAGGTTCCCAATTTCCCGTTCGTGGTCGCGGACCAGGCAGTCCTTCTCGGCGTTGTGCTGCTGGAATAGGTGCGTCTTCTCCTGCTCCTGCTCCAGCTTCAGCTCCACCATCTGATTGGGCAGCGAGGAGTACAGTTCATCAATAGAACATCCTTGTCGTCATGACAACTCGTCTACAGCTTAATTTCCCCCTTAATTTCACCAAGTTGGCAATGCTCTTTTTACGTCACTCTTACCTCACCTCTCCAAAGCCACCTTTGGCGTGACCGAATCCCTCGGGACCGGTTCGACGGCGAAGGCAACCGAAGCGAATCGGGCGCGTCCCGCACCACGTTGGCGGTACGGACGCGGGAGCGCGCAGCAAAACCCGCCTCGGCGCGGTGTGCGCGCGCTCCCCGCGCGGCCCGCGGCCGCTAATCGGGTTTCTAAATGGTTAATAGCCCGTCTGCTCCGCTCTTCGCTGAAGTATACACACGCAACCCCCCCAGCAGCGCCCAGACCTCTTCAAGATTTCTTTATGACTTCCCAAAGAAAAGCTCGTGCTTCAATATTCATCAACGTTATCGCATATACAGTCGCTCTGTTTAAGAGAGGAAAAAAAAGATATATAAAAAAGAAAAAACCCCCACAAACACAAAGCTGCATTATCCCGTTGTCAGCTACGGTATCCCAACCTAAACAGATGTATGTGCTCCAGAAGGGCACCTGCTGTGCCACAAGCTTGCGCCACCATCTCATAAAAAGCGCTCTATTCTCCGGCTCGGTTCCCAGTGCGCCCCGCACGGGACGCGGTGACCTTGGCGCGGCGGAGGCGCCCGGCGGCGGCCTGAGTGGCAGCCCGCGCGCCCGGGCCTGGGCGCCGCAGCTTTGATACTAATCCTCCCAGGCTGCGCACAATGGCACCCTACCTGGCCCGCGCTCTATAGGCGGCCGCTGCCTTTGAAGCAGGTGATGAATAGGGACGGCAGGAAGCCGGCTTCCCCACTGAACGGCGGGCCACACAGCTGCTAGCAACAGTCACTTGGATTTTTCTTCAGTTTTGGTGGATTTCGGGGAGGGGAGGCGAAGGGAAAAAAAAAAAAAGGAGAGAAAAAAGGGAAAAAAGCAAAACCCGCTGTTATCGGGAATATGGTGGGTTATTTTTTTTGCAGCGTGAGAATCTGTCTTGGAAAAAAATAGATGCCTAAGAGGCAAGGGTGGGAGCCTGCTGCACATCGATCGGTGTGCGCGAGCTGGGCGCACGGGCACCTTATCTTAAAGCTGTAGCAGTCGATTGTGGAAATGTGCCCTCTGCATTTACAGGAGCTGTTTCGTGCTTTTGGGCTTGAAAACTGAGGCGAAAAATAAAATAATAATAAAAAAAGCCAACACATTCTCTTAAACAACCAGCAGCTAGGCTTGGAGTTTAAAATTAAAACACATCTCCTGCTCCGCGCTTGGGCGATAGGTCCCAGCGCCTATTTCCAAAAAGGAAACAAGCCAAAGAGGAGCCACACTCYCCTGTTTAACACAGCTACATAACTTAATAATGCTAAAGAGCTCATTAACACAGTGTGAAATCCCTGRAGAGGTTAAACCTCCCAGGACACAGATTTTATCCATCCTGGACCTGATATCCTTACACAAGGTTCTTGAAGTCAGGTCTTCGCCCAAGGTCTGTGTACACGTTTCAAGTGCTCACGGAGCCCTCARTGAAAGTACTCTTGCTCCCTACAATAATTATTAAGAGTCTTGCTTGAATTCTAGAAAAATATTTTGACGTTTGACATAAATCACGTTGGATTAGAAAGAAATCATGTCAGCAAGAGAGGCCTCTCCAATCACAACTTTTTACCCTATTTATAACTGGATTTCTGGGTTTGTGGAAGAGAAGAAAGGGAAGAGGATGGGTGCTGGAGCAAGGGACAGATCCTATTTCTTCCACCCAGTACAGAATACACATATACCTTACCGATTTATACAAGGGAATTAAAGTTTATTTATTAAGCTCTCCTTTGCAGCACTTACATTATAAGCATGAAGTCTTTGAATTTAGAAGCGGGAGGAGCTACAAGGGAAYGTTCCCAGTTCGGGCACTAGCGCAACTAACCGTGCATGATGTGGCAATGAAACAATGAAGCTGGGAAGTGAAATATTGTTATAAAAGGCAAATTCACTGAGGACAAAAATATCATCACTTAAAGCAAACTAAGTGCTAGAGATTCAGACCGATGAGAGCTTCTCAAAGGGAAGCAAGGGCAACACTGAAAAGAGACATTCATTAAAAAAGAGTGTGTGCCCCATTACCACCATCAGGTCACATTCCCTCTGGCTTAGGTGTTGCCTCATTTTCCCTCCCAAAGATGGAATTCTCTCAAGCTCCGCTCCAGTCACCCATTCCAGGCCATGCTGGACATGCTGGCCAGGAAGGACTGTCTGCCTGAGCCTGTACAGCTGTTCTTGTTGTCAGGCACTGTTCCTACCATGTAACACACGTGGTCTAACCTGACAACAGCAGCGACTAATCAGAGGGAGCTGTCTCGTTCAGGAACGCTCAATCACCCTAAATTCTGAGGTGCTTTGGTACAACCTGCTAAAACAAGCATTAATCTAAGGAGGACCTAAACCAAAATCCTACTGTAGACATACAACTAACCTGTTGCTAACTAAAGAGTACTGTATTAGCAGATTATTATCTGTTGATTGCAGAAGATATTTTCAAAAGCCAAATACTTCTAGCACAATCAGCACTTGCAAATACCTTTGCAAAGTCCCTAATATAGACGGGACCTTCTGCTATACATTTTTGGTTTTACATCACAAGCTAAGTTTAGGCTTTTCAATTTTGGAACAATTTAGACTTGTTCTCAAGAACAAGTATGTCTTTGAAAATCTTTTTATAGTCCCTAAAGGAGGGGAAGGAAATCAGTTAGCTCACCGCCTCTTTTAAAACTGTAGCTGCTGCAAAAAATATTTGACACCACAGTATGAAGATTCATTTCTGTCCACAATTCCAGAAATATTATAAGCAACACCCATATAAAATATGGCCTTGCATGGTAGGATGACTTTATTGGCACTCTTTTGTCACGTCTGAATTCCTCAGGGCTAGAGGAGACACCGGTGAGTTACACGTGTCGTGCCAGAGAACTGCCCTCAGGCTCCCTCGCACAGCGTACGTAGAGCATTTTGCAGGTCACTTTTGCAGGTCTTCTGCCTTGATCAACATTTAGGCCTGTTTTCAAACACATGACCAGAAATTTTGCTTCCAGTTCCTCAGATTCTAAATGGTATGTCTCCAATATCGCTATTCCACTCAAAACAGCCCTGGCCTACACTATTCCCAAACGACAACCCTGGCAAAAGCTTAKGTTTTCTGCCTCCTAAGCCTATACATATACATTTCATGAGGATATGACCCATCTCTGCAAATGCATATTTGCTTCTAAAGTAATCTGATATCAAAGATTTGAGAGGAATATTAGTCATGCTCATGTCCAGTTGAGCTTAACTTTGGGCAGGAAAGAGGAGCATCGGTGCAAAGCAATGGGGCATATMCAGACTGTTTTGCTTTCAGTATTCTTTGGAGATTTCTCCCTAAACTGGAAAACTGGAAGTATTCCCAAGATGAAAAAACTGCAATGAATGAGTCAAGGGCAAATGGGGCAGCAACCAAAAGATCGCAGCAGAACCACATATTACTCTAGATGCATTTATTGCCTCGATAAAATACATGCATGGTGAATGCATTCCATTTTTCATTTCACTGCAAACTGATATATTTTAATTACCATGACTATTTTCTGTGATACTTTATCTCCTAATCAACTCCCAGTAACTACTTCAACAGCAAACCAAGAACTACAGGAAATTCTACGACAGGCGCAAGCTGTTGTTTGGCCATAGTGTAATTTCATTTATCCTGCTCTCAACAACAGTAGAGCTGAGTGGTCTTTTAAAAGCATATGCTTAATCTATACATTTTGATTTACAAAGACCTTCCAGATTTTTGATAGTTTTAAAGTATGGGCAGTGCAAACATTACATCACTTCCCCTCCATCTTCCTAATCATTCTCTCATGAATAAATTTGCTAAAGCTGGTTTTAAATCACCAACATATTGGAACCAAAGGTGCAAACAATTACACTTAGTGCTGYAGTGAAAGTCAAGAGCTCAGCCCGCTCCCTCCCCAGCCAACCCGCCCCAGAAAGCCAGAGCACTCTGCAAACAGAAACGGTTCTTTCCAATATTTGCAAATGCCTCTTTGTGGCGGGCTCTCGTACAGAATTTACTGTACATATGCTTTGTTTAAGGATGCAGAATTTATCCAAGRACCTTCTTTGAACACTAAGAAGCGACTTCACAGAAATTCACAGGCTGACTCGCTGTTTACTTCAGGCATCTATTCACGTTGCTGGAATCCTATCTCTTCTCTCCCTCCTCCCCCAAAGCCCATTCCTGTTGACTACACAGGGAGCTCAGGCTTTTAACTCCCAACCACGTATTAGTTGGATGCCTGAAGGAACCCGTATAAACGCCCATCTATCTGGTTAACGATTCTGTAAACAGGCAGGGCTCAGCTAGATTTTCACCTGTTCTCCACTAGAAGGTTAAATTCATACCCTCTTCCTATGCGTGAGTTTTGGCTACATAATGAAGCGAAAGGCGCTGCTGATGATTGAAGAAGCTATTCCTCAGATATTCTGAGCAAATGGCATTCATCTGTGTGCTAGGATGGTTCAAAGGAAACATTTCTGCATCCTGGATTAATTTATTAAGCAAAATTTATGCAGCTTGTTGCTGATGACATGAAAAATTTAGAGCCTTGCTAATGTGCTCATTTGGCCTCCATACAAGAACAGACTGTATTTCAATTATCTTAGTCAAAAAACAAAGAGGAGAGGAACAAAGCTTTTTACAAAGACAGTCTCCTTACGACTAAACCAGCACTAAAAAGCAGAATCTCCAAATATACCTGGATTGTTTGAAGTTTAACTAAGAAATGACTGCAGCACTAGCCTATTTGAAGAGTAACATATTTGAATCAGGTCTTGGGAAACGATTTCCCCACTCATGAGTAGGTAACACATCAGTCAAAAAAAATAGCTAGAAGAAACAGAAAAAGAAGAATAAGGCGGAAGAAATGTTAGAATATGTGTGGTGACAGGAACTCACAACAGTAGAGGTCTAAATGTTCCCATCAGCCATACCTCTGCTTTGCTCAAGACCTGAAAGTGTGGGCTATTTCTAACAACTTCAACAAATTTTCAAAGTGATTTTCTTGTTTAYCCAGTAGAACATCGCTGAAGGTGACTAAACACAAGACAACAACCCTATCTATTCCTTCACAAGTTTTGCCCAAGTCAGGACCTAACAAGAAATGCTGCATCAAAGGATCTCCCGAGATACGGAGAGATTGTCCAACTACCAGGTAATACTTTTCCTAGCTTTCCATCTTGCTAGGTAAGCATAATTACTATTTTAGATTAGAATAAACACAGTTAAGGGGAAAAAAAGACAGAGGAAAGATTTATAAATGAAAAAGCATGTCCATAATTCTGCAAATAACACCATCCCACATCAACATTTTCACACCATGTTCTTTCTACAAAAGAAAGAAAAAGACTTTTACTCTCTTACTAGGCTTGTATCTCTAAACAGATAAATGTATTTATGTATAAAAGGGATGGAAATAGGTTTCTACACAAAACTTGGAAGACTGGCTCAATAACACAAGGCTGAGATTGCGTGCCCAGGCTCTGAAGGGCTTTCTCATGGCCCTGTCTGCAGCCCTGTGCTGAGAGGAAGCCTCTGCTTTTGTGCCAGCTTGGGGAGTTTCAGCTCTGCAGCTCGTTTTTCAGCAGTGGCATCTTCTCAGAAAGCACCGGCCAACTTGGATATAGGGAAAAAGCAATTTGGTTAACTTTGCTGGTAACTTGCCTGCCTGAAATCTGGAACTGCAAAGTTTGCTGTGCGTCCACCCAAATACTGGGGGCTTGTGGAAAATGATTTCAGCAGAAACATTTCCCAGGTAGTTTGAGCTAAACAGAGAACRTAACTGGAACATTAAAAAATATATATAGGGGGAGGGAGAGAGAAGGGAACAAAAAGAAACCCAAACAACCTTTTTTTTCCTGCACTGATGGTGCCATAAAGCCTGCCTATAGATCCTGCAGCCCTTTCAAAGGCAGGAAAGGCTGAGGCCTCCACTGTGGTGTCCCCCGGCTTTGAAGTGCCGAAAGCAGCTGCTCCCAGCAGATAGGAACCGTGGGGCTGGTGGAGGGTTTTTTTTTTTCCTTCAAAATATACTTTCAAATCTAACAGCTGCAAGTAGAACAAAGTTGAGTTAAAGTATATTTAAAGAAAAAAAAAAAAACCCACCAGTTTCTAAGAGTGTTCTCGGTGGATACTTCAAAAGAAAGTGACACTGAAATAGATGAAGCTGAAACCCGGAGMGGCATGGGACAGCTCCAACCAAATACTGCAAGATGGCAATTTTTTTTTTTCCCCTTTACTAATAAGTTCAAATGGAGTTGGAAAGTTAGCCTACTAGGAACTGCCATGCTTTTAAGGGAAGCGGTTAAATCTGTTGAAGGGAAAATTAAAACACGATGATGTTAGGTCGTATCACTGTATCTAATCTATAGCCACGTGAGACCTATAGCGGACACTCACATTAACCATCTCTTTGAAATCAATATTCAAAGAAGGCACTGCAAAGCACAGACAACCAGGCATGTAAGGAACATGTATAAATCCACAGCCCTCGAGTTCCTACAGCTTGAAAACACTCAAATTCAGATCGGAAAACTTCTCGAGTGCCCTCACACTGGCGCATTCATCTTTCTGACCTTCAATGCAAGGAATGATTGCAATATCTTTCATACGAATAATMTGAAGAAAACCCATTCCTATCACTCTATAGACATGAGTGTGTGATTTCTACTTTTTATTCCTGAGATTCTACTAAATAAGAAAAGAGAAGTAAATTTTTTTCCTGTTCTTCTGAGAAACTACGTCAYGTGCAACCTGAAAAGCCACAAAACAAAATCCCCCGCAGCTCTGCAGCTGGGCCTGTTTCTATCACTAAATGTAGGAGCTGCAAATAACAAGCCCAGGAGAACACAGTCCCCATGTAGATGTTCCTCACTCACATGGGACAGCTTTCCATGGACACCCATCACGGATACTCCTAGTGACAGTTCTGAGCAAGGACAAGGAAAATGCTGATCTGAACCGATATATTCCCTTCAATCCCAATTYAACTTGAGCTCCAGGCACTAAACCATGTCATTGCTCCTCTCCAGCATGGGATGCAGTCTCCCTCAGCATCTTGTGACCCCAGTCCTTAATTACTTGGAAAGACGCTTCCAGATGGAGCAAGGCACGCCCCGCATCACAAGCCGTCCGCAGCGTTTCAGCCTCTTACCAGCACGAAAGATGAACTTGGACAGGAAGCGAGACCACATTTCCCTTGTGGAAACGTAAACTCCAGTCAGCTCCAAAACACTGATAAGAGCTAAYGTTAACCTTACAAACCAACCATATCATTGCTGTCCTTCAGGAAGTGATCAAGAATAAGTTTCAGCCCTTTAGYAGGTGTTACCAGAGACACTGCTTTACGTTTCCATGAGAAAGCAGCACCGTGGGGTGAGGATTTGATGGGCTGTTGCAGCTGCCTGGCCTATAATATCTTGCAATAATTTGCCTGCTTCTATTTCTGTTTTGGTCCCCTCTACTCTCAGCAACACTACTGAACTAAACATTTCTTGTTTCCACTCAAATATTTCCTGAACGTTTCCCAACCCTGCCATTGTGATTAAAAAAACAAAACAAGAACAATAAAATCAGTATCAGTGGGCCAAAATAAGCATGCAGAGAAACACTTCTTCTGTTCAAAATGATAAAAAGAGTAAAACTCTCCAACTCRTAGCAAGAAGAAAAACAGAAAATCTCCCTAAATGAATTTATCTGGTCATTATAAAAATGGGTGTTGTCACCTGTAAGCTTGGGAAAAAAACTGAAACATTCCAATGTATAACAGATTGTGGGCGAAAGTAAAAACATTTCCTATTTAGACTTACCCCCTACCCCCAAATCCGCATACCTATAAACTCAGTCTTTACAGAATGGGAGAACAGGATTGTCATAGGAACTGACCTGTGGGTGCATGAAAAGAAAAAGAAACAAAAGGAAAAAAAAAAAAAAAGAAAAAAAAAAGAGAAAAAGTCCCTTCTTCCCTCTACCTAAAGCAGCAAACTGACCTGTTGCTCATATCTTTGCTTCAAGTCTTCCAGTTGCCACGAGAATTCTTTGGATTGCTTTTCCCGGAGAGATTTTGATCTGCTTAGATCTGCTTCTACCTTTTCCATCTACATGGTAAAAGAAAGGGAATACTTAATTTTTTTAAAAATGCATAGCTTCAAACATTCAGACATTTTACAGTTGTTTGCTAACCATCAAAGATCTGAACATTACTCACTGAGCATAATAATAATTAAATATTATTTATGTGGTGTAAAAATGAATATTCAGTAGATACAAGATCATTAGCAACTTGCAGAGATACTTATCACCTATATCCTGCTGCTCATTACAAAGCATTGGCTTAGACTTTCACTTGACAGTGGTGAATATCAAAATGAACAGAATATGTTTTTCTAGACATACTTAAGACTCAAATCTATTTCATTTAAAAACACATTGCCTGTGGACATTTGAAAAAAAAGCAATGTGCGAGTCAATGCACAATCCACACATTTAGAATAAGTTTACACCAAATCRGTAAAATAACTTAGCAAATTATTTGGCTGCAAGTTAAGTTCTCTGAAGATAGTCATCGCTCCTGAATAATGAGCCCCACAGATTCCAGCAAACAGCATCAAGGCAGCAATTTCATAGCGCAATTAGCAAAGGCTTTGGTATCAAAAGCACAACTGTTAGCTGCACATCAGGCACGTTTCTAGGGGAACCTATATGCAGTACTGGGCTGCACTGCACTCTCATCAATAACTTTTAGATCCAGGTCCCAACACAAGTAGCAAATAAAMTATCACCCCAAAAACCACTGGCAAGGAGAAAGAGCGGAGCTGTCAAGAGAATCGTCACTGCCACGAGTCCATCTGCTGCACCAAAAGAAGAAACWCAATAAATTCCTGAACCACAAGCCAAAATCCTGTTGGCCTAAGGGAGTGCTCTGTTTCCTACAGATGTCTTTGCCAATCGGCCTGGACTTCACTTCTAAGCCAGATAACAGKGAAAAAAGGCAGCGCCTGCATAGTGGGAAAAGCATTTTATTGGAAAATGCTGCAGGAAGAGAGGAAGATGCAAGACTAGGAGTTATCRTCCAGGGAGAARAGGGGGAAGTACAGGACAGAGGGCAACAAGTCATCAATGGCCTTCTGGTAGATCATGAACCTCACCATCTCACCTTACTCATGAACCTTTACTATCTACTATTAAGAAAAARGAATTCTGTGAGTATTTTTTATGAGTGATTTCTCCCAACTCCAAGCCTCCTTGAGTTGCAGCTCCATAGACATATTTTCTTCAGCTTAAACCACTCTCATTACTTCATTACACATAGTCTTTTTTTTTTTTTTTAAGGGAAAGTACATTAAGAAATGAAACAAAAAACATGCAAAAATACTTTAACTCTACCCATTTTGTGCTTTAATAGTTCAACTTCATATACTTCCTATAAATGCAATAAAGGCTCCTCTTCATTATTTACCAGAGCAAAAAACATGAGAGCCTAAGTACCATAATATTTGCTGCATCTTGCTTCTCCTTTTGCCAGTTACCACTGGAAAAGCAAACTAGTTATTGGAAAAGTAAACAGCTCTTATAGTCAAAACCATACTGGTCATCCAGCAATGGGCATCAGTTGACTCTTAATAACAAAGCTTGACAACAGAGGAAGCAGATGGCACAAAACATCATAGAGCCAAACTAATGAATCAAATATTGATTACAAGAACTGAAAATGCCAGACCCCATTCTACTTCTCTCCATAATTAAGCTAACCACAAAGCGATGGTTTCAAAAGCCTAATATTTACAGCGTAGTTCAGAATTCAATGTTGCTATAGCTACTACAGTATCTTGAATAATAAGTAGAACATTCTAACTACAAAAAAACACAATTTTCCAAAATCTTCCATTAACTTATGTAATAGACAACTTATCTAAAAAGAGCTTGTGCAAAAAGAAGGAGAAAGCACAAAGCAAGGAAGACCTCTTTGGTATAATGGTCAAGGTCTTGCTTGTAAAGGATGATCACAGAGATTTACTTCCAAAGTATTATCTGGAAAATAAGGGTTAAGTTTTATATTGACATAAATTTTGTTATACCAGGTATTTCCTAAGAAAATCTTGTACGATGAGGTATGTTGATATACGTTGATGAGATATATATGTGTGTGTGTGTGTGTGTGTATATATATATCAACAATATAAATATTTTAAACAGTCCCAAAGCAAACCCTTTTTCCATTTTTCAGTGTTATTTCCATTCTTATAAGGAATATTATTCTGGCTTAGGGAATCAATAAAATAAAAAGAATGACCAATCTACCCAGACACATTCCTATTTCTATTTATTAGCATGCAAGCCCTTACAAAACAACTCCATATCTGATTCTTGGAGTACAAGAAAATTTATTCTGAGCATTTCCAAGAAAACAASAATATTCTCAAAGGAAATTTACAGTAATTTTAAAATGAAAGTTATGTTTGTAATTTTCCCCAATTATTTTGTGCAACTTTATGCAATTGTGTGAGTGCGTGGGGATGTGTGCACATACATGCGAATGAAACCTCTGCTAGTCTTTCAAGAATGAGAGCATCCCCCTTTTGGAGTAGGGACAAAATATAATTTTAAGTCATTTTGAGGAAGCTGGAGAAGAGTCTAACAGTATAAGATGTAGGAAACTCAATTTAAAACAGTGAGTTAGTTATGAAAGGTTTTGTTCTATTGCCCTCATGGGTCTAGTTTGCAAAACAAAAGTTGCTTTGCAAGCTTGTTCTTGCTTTGTTGTTCCCAAATTGCTGTATGTGCAGGACGTAAAAAATATCAGTAATGTCCTAAATTCCTAACTTCTGCTGAAGAATCTGAAAAAAAAAGTAAAACTTAAAGAATGAAAAAAAGAATTTRCTTAGTTATTAGTATATGACAAAATATTTTAAAAAATTTCAAGCACAGTTGTTTTGTTTACCTCCACCTTCTGGTTTGTTTTTCATCACTAATACACACATATATACATTGGAAAAACACCTTTCTAACCACTTTTCTAATATCTCACATTTCAAGRTGCATTAAATGATTACATTCATTAATTATAACTATATATTAATTATTAATCCCCACTATTGTTCTCATAAAATATATTCTCCAGATRAGACAATCCCTAGGACAAGACCATCATTCCACAGGATATTAAAAACACAACCACTATTTCAGAGGGCTCTATTGATGTTCAGCAGTAGCAAATGGGACAAGGTCACATSTGCTGTTGTTTCCATTCCCATCTCTTCAGAAGAGGACACAGAGAGGCTTTGTGACTGAAGYTTTGCTTTTCTTTTATTTAAATAGTGCTACATTATCAGTATCCCTAGCTGTTCATTACAGTATCAGATTACAGCATCCTACTGGCAACAGCTAGACTTAGTTATGAAAGGCAAAACTCAGTAAATGGTCAGGAGGAATCACTATGCTGAGATACATATATTGATTTTGACTCCATGAACAGGTTAAGAAAACATTCCCCTATCCATCCTTCTTTTCAATCACCTGGCTGCCTCTTGTTCCTCATTTCAGTCACCTTGTCAAGTCCTTTGGGCAATAGTTTAACTGTTGTTTCTTCCGTAAGCAGTTTAACAAGCTGCATTCCTAATTATCACTTCTAATTTTCAGGGGAAGAGTAATGAAGTTGACTGTCCCTGGAAGAGGACCGAGAGCAGCCACACCGGGGCTGCCCCTGCTTCTGCTCCCGCTCATCACCAACCTCATTAGGCGAAGGCAGAGTCGTTCCAAAAAGAGCAGGGAGAAGCACACGCCGGGGTGGAAAACCCACCGCAATGCTCCACTGGCGTGTATAAACTAACACTTTTGACTCTCGCTCCTGAAAAAATCCCTAATCAGGGCGATAAGTGCAGATATCTCTGTAACAATGACAACGCTGCCTTTGTTAAGGAGATGAAACGGCCGCCACATCCCTTCCCGACTCGCYGGCAAAAGGCACCGCGTTGTGCGGGATTTTGATGTAGCACTAGCAAGTGAAGCCTGTTTCTGGCATTATAAGATCAGAATATGCTACCCCACTGCGACAGAGTTGGAGAAAGGCTGGCATCGTGACCCCCTCACCTGCTCTTTCATTTCAGCGTAGACTTTTTCTGAGTTCAGCTCCACCTGCCGCTTAAACTCCTCCAGGGCAGCGTCTGCCTGCTGGGCCTGCAGCCTCTGTACCTCTGTCACCCGAGTCAGCTGCTCCTCCTTCTCCCTAGAAAGGCACAGAAAAATTTTCAGAGTTCAAGTATCAAATAAAAGAACAAGTGTGCCAGTGTAAAAGAAAGGCCTTTAACCCTATCAGTTTAAAATAGTATTCAGATTTCCATTTCCTGTCCTGGCTCCTGCCTAACTTCCCTCAGCAATACTTTGAAGAGGGGGAGAGAAGTCTCCAGTTATTTTCACTTTCTCGCGGGGGATTTAGCAAGCCTAAACATAGCAGCCGTATCTGGTGGCACAGACTCCATCTTCGAAGCTGCAGCGACGTCAGTGGTTTGCTCCCCGTTTTCAAGCCAGCCTTTCAAAACCTGTTGTCCCAATAAAATTTAATGAAGAATCCTCTTTGTTATAACAGTACTGYTCCATTAAAATAACAACAAAAAATCCCAGCGTTGTCTGTACTCAGACAAGCAGCAGAATTATTCACCTGATGCATGTCTCAAAGCCAATGAGCACAACGTGTGCGTTGCAGCACCTTCTGCATCGACTCAAACCCAGGATGCTGCAATAGCCACTCAGTCTTTAAAGCCCATTTTTCCTATAGAAGAAGGTCAGAAAACACTGCAAACTTTCTGCCCCATGTTTCTACAAGGAGAGGTGAGTTCCTGGGAATGGAGCTACATGACTCCATGCTGAAATGCGAGRACTTGGTGTTGCCTCTACCAGCTGCTGGCGACAGAAGAGGAAGATTGTGGCAGAACTGTGGCTGCCATTTCTATTTTAGAGGACCTCATGATAAATTTTGAGTTTCGGCAGAGTTATTTCTACCTAAAGCAAAGAYGCTGGCAACGCTGAGGACAGAGAAGTCCAGCCACTGCAAACTGCTTCATATTTCTTAGAGATAATCCACCACCTAGGATTTAACTTTCTAAGAGAAGATCCAAAACACCAAAATTGCAAGTAAAACACAACCAACCAACCTTGGACATTTCTCAGAAGTGATACACCGCAAAGGCTTCAAAAGCCAGGAAGAAAGCGGAGTGCTGGGGAAGTCCAGCAGCAAAGGCCTTCGCCGCGCTCGCCTTTGCCGCCTGGGTGGCGAGAGGAGCTTCCCAACACGGGCATCTTCTTAAACCAGCTTTTCTGTTTCGTTTTATTACGAGGTAAACCTTCAGGAATCTGATTTTATGCACCTTTATTCTTCTAAGGGCTTAATCCCATGAATAGATATAACATCTCATTAGAGCTAGGAATAAGACTTCATGTGTGGACGTGGGAGCTGACTCCAGCTACTTTTTATGCATTTGAGATTTCTACAGAAGCTTAGAAAACACGGCCAACAATGGGCTGTGCTGCACAAATATAAGAAAAGCTTCACTTTTTTTTTTTCCCCAAGACACTGAGCAATGTGCCTTGCATGAACACTAAAATATTCACTTTGAAGATTATTCTTTTTGAGTAGGACTAGTTGTGGGGCCGAATACAATGCAATTACATCACTTCAATCCCCTACAGCTGAGCCGGCATGAATATAAATATAGGGTGAATTTAACTGTTTGGCCCCAGTTTTAAAAGCTGCAAATTCCTCTTGTTTCAGTTTCTAAAGGACACGGCCAGGGAATTAGCAATCTTACACGGCACAAACCATCGCAGGGAAAGTTGACTGTGAAGTCCAGAATTGCAATTTCAGAAAGCGGCACTCTGAAGTGTACTGATAAATGGAAAAATATAAACATCTTAAATATTTCCTCTTCATGCTTAATTGCAAATATTTTCCTTGCTGCCCAAAACATCTTCCAAGAGGTAACAACTAAACACAGCAAGACGCTACAGCATTGCTAGTCGAGTTAATGAAACACAGAGCAACGCAGTGATTTACAGAAGAGGTTAAATAAATTCAAGATGTTCCTCCAAAGGCAGGATGAAGCAGCCTTATTTTCTGCAGGGCTCTCAGGGCCAGAAGGTTCTCCCCACTCCTTGGGAGAAAACAAGAGGTGACTAATGGCAAACCAGAGCAGGAAACGCACCCAACCTGGTGCATGGAGTCCTCCAAAATTGGAACATTTTTGGAATACATATCAACACACACATGCACCAAGCATGTACCTCCTGCAGGGACACATGTAGGGCTCCTGCAAACAATTAGTTTCACAGCCCGTTACCAAATCCCAACCAAGCACCCTGCACACTGTTTGGAGGGGTTTTCAGCAAAATAGAGAATTACTAGATCATTAAAATCCTTATTGTTTTCTTACAAAATACAAGTCTTTTGTTCCTGAATATGCAAATTCTCTGCCAGGTTTTCAAATATTTCTGGCAAGAGTGAAAATCCACTTACAGTGTCCGAAGAGACCCATGTTGCTATAGTTCAGAGAAACCTCAGAAGGGGAGCAAGGAATTTCTTTGATAACGATGCATTTTACAATAAAGTAGATTTCTGAAACCGAAGTGGCAAGTGCAACAGAGAATAGGAAACAGCAAATATTAAGACRGTGATATTTAAAAATGAATAAGGCTAAATACACTTTCTGTGCTTTCCAGAAAGCAAAGAGCACAATTCTCTATATGCTACAGCAGCACCCGAAGATCCCACTCAAACTAAACCCAGCAAAAGTTAATAGGACTCTGGGTTTATGCCTGTAGATTTAAAAAATAATAAATTAATTAATTAAACCAGTGTTACTTACCTGTTTCCTATCAGCAAGATGCTTGGAGATTAGAAGGGGAACATCTAACCCCAGACCAAAATAGCCCAAAGGACTCTTGGTGCAATAACTAATGATATATGATGACATCACTAGCTGGTTTTCCCAGGAAACAGGAGGATTTAATGAGGCACTGTCACTCAGAGCGATAATAATAGAGACACACTGTGGAGGGATGAGTTTGGGGGCATCACGCCCGTCTTCGTGCCACGTTAAAACCCACAGGTCCCCCCTGTGTCACCAGCTACCGCACAGCTGAGCGCGTCTATGGACAAGTTCCCGGCACCACGGTTGGGCTTGAAGAGAGCTAACAAGGTCCACGTGCCACCRGGAGAGCAACATTGCAGGAGAGCTCACAGAGAAACAGAACCCCCCTTGCAACACACAAGGAGAAAAGCAGAATTTCTAACGCCGTGGAATCACCGCAGAATTGCACAATAACACGTTGCTGTTTTCAGTACCATCACCCTGCATGTTTAACGTGCCTCTCCTATTAAAAGACTAAAGTAAACTTCAGTTTGCTGGTAAATACTTAGCAGCTATATTTCACAATGAAATATTTAACACAGTTCATGTATGAGGAATATTTCAAAAGCTGCACTCGTTCCTACAGCCTCCTTAAGCAAAAAATGCTTTGGCAGCATGCAGCACCAAAAAGCATTAAAAGGATCTCGAAGGGGCAGGGCTTTGGGAYACTGCCCCCTTTTTAAATTTACCTTGCATTACTTTCCTCACTGAATCCAGACCAGTCAGGCCAGTCAATGCAGAGACAYGGAAAAGCAGAGAAATGGGAGATCTTTAACCGAGATCTGCTGAAACAGAGATCTTTGGCACACCGATCTGATCCTCCAGCTCCTTATCCTGCTGATCCTGCATGACATATACCCTGTCCCAGGTATTTACATTCTGTGTTCATCTCGCACATGCTTCTCTGTCCACTCTTATCCCCCAGCCCACGAAGCGTTAATCCTTACAAGGCAAATCTGTTTCACTCTCCACCAACCCTCCGCGTGGACGCGGCGCTTTGATTTATAGCAAACCTCAAGGTCTATGACTGCCACTATTTCATAGTTGGGTGGGAAAACCACTAAAAACACCCTGCAGGCCAGTCTCTCTAATTTCATTTTCAGAAGGAATACTTTTCCAGCTACATAAATATTAAGGCCTAAAGAACCATATATTTGCAGAAAGAAAGGGTTACCATTTCATGTTTAAAAAAAAAATGCTATAGTAGCAATGAGAGCTTTCTGAAATACACAAAAATGATTTTACTTCCCATGCTCAAGTATTTTAATAAATGGGATAGTTATTTAATAGTGTTTTATGCAGATTATATTCAAAATTGACATGATTCCATCTTAGGAGTGGTGAAAGCGTCTTCCTAAAAGGCGGTTCTCAGCAGCGGACACCGAGGAGGAACCGGGGGCGCCTCTCGCAAGGAGCGAGCCCCAACATCTGGGCCCTGTGCYGAGCCCTTCGCGTTGGGGTGCAGGGGAAGAAAGGCAGTGGGAAGTCATTGGGGCTGAATGATAACGAAACCCAAGCCAGATCAAAGGAGCCAAGAAGAAAGCCTGAAACGTGAAGCTGAAATATTTATTGCCTTCAAAACATCATCCCTATCCTGTCCCTGGGCACTTTAATATTTCGGAGTTGTTCGAAAGCATTCTAACTTGTTTCATCATTTCAAAGAAATAAAGCCAAAAATCTGAAGCCGAGAACAATTTTATCTTGTGTTGCCTGGTTTTGAGTGCGAGATGAGCTTTTCTGTATGAGAAAACGCAGGAATCCACTTCAAAATTGTTTAGAGTTTGCATAATTTGAGATGTTAACATTAAAAAGCTGGCCTGCATTCCTTCAAGTAAGCTGTTAGGATGAATGATATTTACAATTATTGTTTTAAACTATATCCTTATGTTTTAAATAAATCATGAGATAAYGTTAACAAAACTAAACCTCTACTTAAAGTCATTAATGAATTTGAAAAAATATTCCATGTGCATAATATCACACTTGTATAAAAAATAACAATACATTATACTCGATATAAATGGCTCACAAATTAACTAGACATTTGTTAAACAACAACAATTATTATAACTATTCCTCCCTACGGGCAAACCAAATAAAAACAGCAACCACAAAGAGATGAATAAGATGTTGGTTAAAAGGCCAGATAAGTGTAAATGGGGCAGGAAAAGAAAATGCAAAGAGTAATTTAGCTAAACTTTGCTAAATGACAGCCAAGTGAGACTCAGTTATCAAGCAATGAGGATAAGAACATAAATGGTCACGGCTTTTACACATGGAAGCAACCATCGAGCAACCGTCGAGAGAAGAGAGGGAGTAGAAA